AGATTGTTAGAGCAAAGATACATTAATTAAAGTAGATGGATCAAAAATAAAGGCTAACAGTTTAAAATAAAGTAAGTTATGTTTATGTAATACCTCTAGCGCTTTTTCAACTCCTTTAGTGAGAACGGTTGTCATAAGCGCAACTTGTTTTCTCCTTGCAGCATACCATCGAGTTAATCTTATATCGTCTAACAGTTCAACAATGTGATACCTTCTAGCAGGATTTAACACTTTGTTTAATGATTCATCAATGTCGCTTGTTGTGAAGTTGTATCTATCTTCTGGAAAGTGAACCCTACTCCACGTAGTTACATCTGCCCGCACCAAATAGCTGTGCAGGCCTGGATACAAAGCTGTAATAATATCAAAAGTTGCATTGAAATCTGCTAGCATATAAGCTAGTACCCGCCTTCTTCACTAATCCAAATGTTTCACTTCCTCTAAATCTAAGCTTTATGTTTTGTGTAGATGGTATGTGCAAATCCCTCTTCTAGCTTGTTGGATATACAGTCCCTATAGCTTTTGCAATAGATTTATGCCTATCCGAAATAATGGCTAGTCCATGATCATCTGGAATAACACATCTTAGTTGTCTGAAGAACCATTCCCAAGATTCATCGTTCTCTGAATCAACAACAGCAAACGCTAAGGGAAATATATTGAAATTTCTATCTTGTGTGATAGCTAGTAACAAGGTCCCTAATATTTCCCCTTCAAAAAGTACCATCCACAACAATAACTTTCCTCATAAAAGTAAAGCCGTCAATGGTAGCACCAAATGAAATGAAAACATACTTGAATCTATCTAACTCATCTACTTCAAGGCTAGTAAGGGTGCCGGAGTTTGCTCTCCTAATCCTTTATAAGTATTCTGGAAGGTGTTTATACCCAATTTCCAGACTACCTCTAACTAATTCACGTGCATACTTAAGTGTACGATGAGCTTTCCAACATCCAACCTAGTAAGATGAAAGTTTAGGTCATATAGTTACAAACGCCTTACGGGTGAGAGCAGTTATACGGAAACCTAGTAAATAGACTTACCTTGATACCATAACGCAGTTTCAACGCCTGGGCCTACACCACCAACGAAATTCTTGTAAAGTACTCCAAGTATATCCTTGGTTGCTTGTCTACAACGGGCGGATCGCTCTGTTACAGAACACGTATGCTGATTCACATAGACTTTGATGTGAAAATTCCCAAATGCATCAATCGGTGTAGCTCTAACTCTCCAACGACACCCATTTACCCAACACTTTACAGCATAAACTAGAGGCGTAGACCGAGCAACGACAAAGTCAAATTTTTGTAAAACACTGATTATCTTCATTCGAATCACCAATTGAAATTTCGATTCATATTTTTGCCCAACAGCGATATCAACACCTCCACTAAGTAATAGCACATACTCTTTTGCAGTAATCGACATCCTCTTGCTAATTGGAACAATTTTCTTCTCTCTTTTTTTAGCACATCTACCATTTCTTCATCTTCTTCATCTTTAACCTCTGCTTCCTCTGCATTCTCTTCTTGTTCAACTTTTAAGATTTCTTCATCATCTCCATCTTCATCATTTGTTTCCTCATCAGAAAACTTATAAGACTTACCGTAATCTTCATCCCCAGAGCTTGCTCCATCAGTATCATCACAACAATCGAACCTGTAAGTCTCGTCCTCATCCTCGCTTTTTTGTTCCTCTTCATCTCCATAAGCTTCGCCGTCCATAGAACACGTATAAATTGGTTGTTTCTCTACTGCTTTCCTCTTGTAATACTGCTCTTCTTTGGACTATGTTTTCTCAGGTGATACATCCGGGCCGAAAATAGTTTTTTCAGTTTTTTATTCTTCGATTTGATACAGAGGCGCCCCACGGTTTCAGATTTGCATTGCCGGATAAATCCTTCAAAATGGCGGGGGTTACATATAATAACCGGAGGAGTATCTTCTGAAATCACGATCAAGTTCTTCGTATGCAATTTATAACTAAGCTTAACCTTTATAAACCTTTCTATCAAACCCGAAATCCTCGTACACCATTGCCAAAAAAATCATCAAACGAACTTTCTGGTTTCGTAGACAGTACCATGCAACCTCTTCTTTCATCTACAATAAATGACCAACGGTTTTTTGCAAATTTCCACTTCCCACATACCAGTGGAATTTCTACCATCTTTCACCAGATGAAACAACAAAAGATTTCAGAATTAACTTCATCTTTTTTGATAAAATGTTTGCTTCGGGGGAACAAGACAGGTTTCCGGCGTAATAAAGCGTAAATGTAAGGGTAAACATGACTTTTGCTTTTGTTAATGTTCGCCCTCTTTAATATTGATCGCTAACAATTTCTTATAGCTCTATCACCACATACGTCCAAAAAAACACCCAAACGTGCTATTGAGTAAACCGTTACTCTGCCACGTTATGACAGAGTTAATAAATAAATCTATCAAAATGATTAACTCTACCATGTTGTAACAGACTTATTACGATTTCTCTGTCACATAACTCTAAATCGCTCATTTGTATACCACCATTACATGAAACTCTCCCTCAAAAATATATGATTTTACATTGTCACATAACTCTACCACCACACAAAATTAAATATATCACGGTGTTATTTGAGTAAACGTAAAGTCATCATAATCTGTCAGTTAACTCTATGAAACAAATAACTCTGCTACCACCATAAATATATCTATCCATAAACTCTATCAATTATTAACTCTATGAAATTAAACTAACTTTAAACTTTCATTTATTTCTATCGATTAAATCTAATAATTTAATTAACTCTGCCGTAACTACAGCGACAGACTTTTTTCGGCGCGGGACATTTTTGCAGGCTAAATACACCTTCTCTCACTGACGTGGCAACATCTTTTAATGGCAGATTCGTAATTACGTTTCTCTCACAACATCTAACGAGGAGCAATTCTTCCTTAACGATCAACAAATCGTAAGACACATATCAGTAATAAACGCCCTTTTAGGTGTTGTTTGAGTCACTCAAAAATGTTCTCAAATAACACCTAAAAGTGACTTAATTATTTTGATAGCACCTGTGGAGAGGGATCTTACTCAAATAACACTTCAAAGTTGCCAAATGTCTTTTAAGCCTCTCTAACTATTTTTTTACTTGTTTGCCATTTTGAATTAAAAATAACAAAAAAAAAATAGAATTATAAATGAAAGAAAAAAACTAAGGGAGAGTTACTCAAAAGGCTTAGTCAAGAGGAAAAATAACTAAAATAGCATGGTTTTGGATGAATAGTATTATCTTTTTTTAAAGGCAAACTTGCCCTCAAAGATGTGTGAGGAGAAAAAAAAAAACAAAATTGCCATTAGTAATTAGAGTTATTTACAGAAATGCCATGAAAAAGGCGGGAGTTGGGAAAAAGTAAGCGGCGGGAAAAAGGGAGGATAATTTGGAAGTGGCGACAGATTTATGGAGGTGACGATTTTGTATGGTAGTTTTAATAAACAATGACAGAGTTGTCAGATATGTTTGATAAATCTATGTCGAAGACACAGTAGATTGAAGTAGAGTGATAGATTTATGTAGTTTTGGTTGAGTTATTTGGTAGAGATGTATCAGTGGTGACAGCGTAAGTAAAATTGATTTGTTAGGCAGACTAACATGTAGTTGAAAGAGTAATTAGGAAATAGATTAGTTAGGTAGAGTAACAAAGGTTATGATAGAGTTGTTAAGAAAAACAGAGTATGTGGTATAGTTAGAAAATAGGAACAAAGTCTGTTGACTAGTTAAAGTAGAGTCTTAATTACGATAGATTTATTATATAATCGACAGACTTATCCAACAAATTAATTACTAGCGTGTCACAGTGTGTCCGACAAGTGGTGGAAGACTTGATGTGTGTGACGATAGAGTTGTGGGATTACGACTGCTTGGTGACAGAGTTAGCGAGACAATGTGGGGGTAGACTTAAAATCGTTAAAACCGCAATCCTGCAAAAAAGTTTTTTGATAGTCATGATAGATTTATTTTGATAGAGTTATGTATGATGTTAAATATGTCACAACGTAAAAATTGGCAATTCCAAAAAGCCCTCCCACTTTAACCGTAATTACAATTTCAATGGACACGCATCTTCTTCGTTGTTTGTAGGTTAAACACTTTGTCGGTGGTTCCGAATCTGAGCACATCGACGAAATTTAAACCCACGTTTTCATATAAATATATATCATCTGTTTTCATATAAATATATCATCTGTTTACTATACAGAAATGATAGTTGATGTGGTCAGGTGGCAGCGTTTGGGTTTTGAAAACTTCAAGAGCCGGGTTCGACACTACACTCTGTAGTTTTTTTTTGTTTTAATTTTTTTTTTTTGTGTTCTTCATATTCTTCACCGGTCGACTTCTTCCTCTCACATCTCCGATAACATAAAGGAGAGATATTTGAACTCGGATCTTGTTCATCGGTGAAAGTTAGATTTTCAATTTTTAATACCAAAAATCTCTCCTTTTTTTCCAATTGAAGTTTGTTTACCAATATGACTAAAGATGGTTTTTTATTTCAAGTTGCAGAGTGATAAATCGTAGGCGATTCGATTGTTATCAGTAGCTTGTTTATCATTATCATTAGCTACAAGAACATGATTTCGTTTTCACATCTGATTGTGATTGTTAAAAATAATTTGTTGATTCTATTAGATCTGAGAAGAAGAATTCGTCTTTACTTGTGGGAATCAAGATACGTTTCCAAAATCTAGAGAATCGTTAATTCACACTGCAGATTCCGATTGATTTTGCGTTTTGTGAAGACGAAGAACAAAAAAAGAAAAAAAAAAAAAACAAAACTGAGATTCGAACCTGACTCAATGGTTTAAAAAAGCACACATGCTACCACCAGGTCACATCGACATTCACGTATACACACATTCACATATTTCATTTGAATCGTAATCATACATATAGATATTATGACAAGTAGAGATAACAATCACATTGTATAGATAGATAAAGACTTATAATTGATCTAGTCGATATATTGAGAAACCCATTTAAATCCTTCGCCGTAACCCATCTTTCTGACAATGCTGCACATGAACACCTCAAGGGGACGAACATTTGTTCATGCTAGATTCACTTTACCTTTCCCAGTGGTGAAATTGGTGAGGCCTACATTATAACGCAGCTCGTCTTCTGATGCAGCGTAAGGAATATCGAGTTTGTTTCCAAGAACAAGGAAAGGGACATTTGCTAGGGATTCATCAGAGAGAAGAGCGTCAAGCTCTTTCTTTGATTCTGCAAACCTCTCTTTGTCATATGCATCCACTAGGTATACCACTGCATCAATCTAATAGTAGTAACAAAGCAAAAGTCGGATCACTGAGGCCACAAGTAGACAGTCCATGAAAAGCATTTAACAAAGAGAAAGAACAGATACGACCATGGTGTAATGCTGAAATAGCTCTTACAAGATTTTCAAGAAAAATTACCTCTTCTCCGAAAGACCATGGTTCATGGTCATCAGTGCCAGCCTCAGAATGACCATGGCAGAATGGAAACATAGCTCCAACACCCATCCAATGTCCAAATAACCTCGGAGTTGCATTGCCAGCAAAGCCACCGATATCTGGCCCTGATAAGGGCTGACCACTAAGCCCCTGTATGCAATTTACTGTCTCAGAGTTAATAGGTGTTGCAATTGTTAACTTATGATGGGAAAAAAAAAATTAAATAGTTCTTTGTCCAAATCGAGAAATATAACAAAAGCAAAACCATATTTTTACTCATTTCTGCGGCTAGCTCTATCAAAGTGGAGAAAAAGGTTATAAGCAACACCAAAGCTTAAATGAACAATAAAAAACATCCAAAGCAAATGATCACGAGTACTAAACTTTTTGGTCATCAGAGCTTGACAAGATATATTAGTTATCGTAAATGACTATCCCACTCCATACTTTAATTTTGTGATAAGGATTCAGCAAATTCCTGAAATTCTTACCAGCTGAAGGACCATGGATATAGACATATGTAGATGCTCCCAGTTTGAAAGGTTATCTCCTGTCCAAGTCGCAGCATATCTCTGGCTACCTATGAATCCAGCTCTTGTCAATACAAAAGGCCGCTTATTCTTATCAGCTAGCTCCATCCCTTCATAAGTTGATCTGGCCATCAGCATCCCATAGACCTACACAACAGGAAATCTTGACTATCTTGCAGTGGGCCTGACATAGTACCTCCAAGGTAATAAAGCTGCTAAAGAAATTTTTACAAGCAATAACAGAGAAAATGAGATTAGAGTAGAACAAAAAAAGTTACATTGTGGTAGTATGAGTGGTTTGAACACCTCCAAGGTCGTCATCTCCACGGTGAATATTGTTCTCAGGCATCGTCTTTGTCACGACGTGGACATTGACAAATATGACCATATGAAATTTGGATAAAGATTCTGCCAAGAAAATGATAAAGGGTGAATGCAGAGTAGATAAAAATTACTTTGAAGACAGCTGGCTCATTCATATCATTCCATATACCATCTACACCATTTGAAACAAATTCCTTAACCAAATTAGCCCACCAAGAGCGTGCTTTGGAATTTGTATAGTCAGGGAAAACGCAAGGCCCATGCCATACTTCACATATTCCTAAGAGAAACATGTCACTTTTAGCGACCCAACCAAGTTAACAGATGAAATGAAATGTTTGAATGGCACAAAGAAGCTCAATTAAGACGTGTTATATATAAAAGAAAAACTGGATTACCTCTTGTGCTGAATTCCGGCGAGAGTTCCAGGGAAGAGATCAAAGAGGAATGGCTGGACTGGACTCGAGTGAGAAGGAGTGGCTGATACACTCCGGCGAGAGATCCGGCGAAGAGATCCAGCGAAGAGATCCGCTGAAGAGACCTCGTTTCTCTTCTCACTTATTGTCGAAGAATGTCTCTGTATCGACGAAAGAGGTTTAGGTTTTACTTCCTAGCCGCCCAATCCTCAATACTCAAAAAACTCAATCAAAACCGGAACTATACCAATCCAAAACCGGTTTAGTCCCGCACCACCGGCGGTAATTATACTCCCGACGTCACTCAACAACGCAGCTTTAGCCTTAAAACCATCACTCTTAGAGCAATTTCCCAATCTAGCAACGATTTGCCTCAATTGCTTCTGATTCTGGATCCGTCGCCGCTTCAATAGACGCCGCTAAATACAAAGCCGCTCCGATCTGCAGATTCGAATCACCTTCCTGAATCAAAGCCTCATCACGGCTTCCGCGATGCAGCAAACGGCTGCCTCGTAACATGAGAGAGAGAGCTGGTCTTTTTTTTTTACTTAGAATAACATATTTAGGTTTTAGGATTTGTTTTCTTATATCATACCGCACGTTAGGAAATTTGGAGACAAATTTCTCATTGATTGGTCAGACATTAAACCATTAAAAGCACATTCTTGGCAAGTGCATTGTCCACCTAAAATACGTCATTTCTTATGCAAATATTAACGGGTTGTGTACTAGTTACGGAAAATTTACGGAGAAGAGGAATTGATTGTGATACAGGTTGTGCCAGATGCGGCGAACCAGTGGAAACAATCAATCATACACTCTTTCAGTGCCACCCGGCACGACAAGGTTTGGGCACTCTCCTCAGATTCCTAACAGCAATAGGAATTTTTCCAACAGAGTCTATTTTTTCGAATTTGGACCATTTATTTTGGAGAATACCTTCGGACTTTGACTCTTCAGCCTTTCCATGGATTATCTGGTAATAATGGAAAGCAAGGAATGAAAAAATATTTGAAAATATTGATAAAGATCCGTTAGAGGTATACGGTTAGCGGAAAATGAAGCAACAATTGTGGCAGTCTGCCCAAATTGAGCTTCATCATGAAACTCATGGTACTGTGGAATTGGTAAATCGGTCTCGAGTGGGAAATACTTCACTTGACCTCGAATTATTCAGGATACCGTTGCTTTTGTGGATGGATCGTGAAAGAAAGTGATAAGTTCTCCGGTACAGGATGGTTTTGTACATCATCAAACGGAGAGCCGCCAACCAGGGAGCTGCAAATCTCCGTCGAAGTTTATCTCCATTACATACCGAGTTTCGAGGCCCTTCTCTGGGCGATGAAGTGTATGATAGGTGCAGATAATCAGAGGTAGAGTTCCTTACAGACTGTTCTGATCTGGTTAAGATGGTGTCTTCTCCAACCGAATGGCCGGCGTTTTCAGTGTACTTGGAGGATTTCAGATCGACAAGGAAGAATTCTCATCATTCTCTTTATCTTTAATTTCTCGCAATGCTAATGTAAAAGCAGATCATCTGGCACAAAAAAAATTTGTACAATACCGCTTCATATCACATTGTAAACAAACATTCCACAAGAATGGCTCTTTTGAGCTCTAATTAATTTCGGATGACAAAAAAAAAAAAAGATTGTTTTCTTATATATTTAAGGTTTGTTTTTTCTAAAAATTTAATTCAAAATGGCACTAATTGTAAATAAGAAAATGTAATTAGGGTTAAAAGTCTTTTTCAAATTTTTTTTAAGCTATTCTAGTAAAGATCATCTTGACTAAGCCTTTAGAATAATTAGTGCACTTTTCTAAGCCATTTGACGTAATTTCCCAAAAACTAAACACATCAACAACTTTTCTCTTTTGGTTTTGTCGAAGCAACGTCGATTGTTACGGCGATATCTCGGAAGGATTCGATTCCGGTGGCGAAGGCGATATCGGGTAAGGTCGTCATAAGATTTCGATTTATTTTTTACAAACGGCCTAGTTAGTGGATAAGGAATTGATAGATTTCGATTGACGGAAGTTTTAACTAGGTCACTGGTTTCGCGACGGTTTCGGAAAGAAGCGACTGAGGACGGTAACCGGAGGCGTATATCGGCTGGAACAAAGCTTTAACAAACCAGAGCAATTGAAGAGTGTGAACCCTAAGACTTTGATACCTCTTCTCTTCTCTCTCTCTCTTCAAAGATGTCTCTCTCTTCCCTCTACCTCAATTCCAATCCAAGATTCGCCGTTGGTGGTCCTTATCACCGCCGTTAACCACCCTGAAGCTTCGTCTGTTGCTCTGCTAAACGTCCAGCTGTCTATGCTTCACTGAGCCTTGCCACATTAAGAGAACAATTAGAACAACTCTCGGAAGAGAAGACCCTTGGAGGGCTTCCCAGGTTACTTACTCTCTTATTGTTTCATCATTGTCAATTTAAATTCTTTCATAGTTGAAATCTTATTTAGATTAAAAGATTCCTGTTTTGGTGTTAGAATGCTAGAAGAGTTAAATCTTCGTATTATACTCGTTCCGAGTAGATGTTTTGTATCCACTTTGGCCGAATCGATCTTCTAGTTGTTTGTCGTATCACATATAATAATGATGATCATGGTTGCTTTGCTTTTACTTGCTCTGGTTTTAGAAAAGACTTAACGTCGTCGTTAGTGACTATAGCTATATATGTACTCTCTGATTATCACCTTTCACATTTCTCTTTCCTTGTGATTTTCTGATGTACTAATATATGCCGTGCTTATTATTTTGACAGAATAAAGAAGAGTTGTCAACATTATTTGCACCAATACCTGTGAAGCTACCAGAGTTTGAGACTCACTAGTTTTGGTTTCGGTTTGGTTTTTAGGTAGTTGAAGGACGAGCGCTGAGCTAATTTGTCTTCAGAAAACATAGCATCTGCAGCAGAATCCAAGTCATGAGGGAAGAAGACCCTGCAGAAATAGAAACAATTCATCAGGACAAAACCTTTACATAAGAACAGTTCTTGGATCTCCTCTTAATGTCATTTTCTGTAACTGATCTAGAAATGATGTAATACCGACATGAAGAGAAAACATGCCTGCAAGTGTTGTGGTACAAGGTTGAGCTAACTTGATTGATATCACCAAGGAGAGGTAAGCCTAAAGGCCATAGTTTAATGGAAAAATAGTGGAAGTCTTTACCAAGTTACATTTTATTGTAAAAGAGAAGCTTATCGGGGTCCAATGCACTACCAGTAAATGAATAAGCAACTCCTCAAGTGAATGTGAAGTGAATCATGGACTATAGATTAAGATGACTAAAAAAGCAATCATGGACTATATAGATTAAGATAACCGAAATTTCAATGTCAAAGACAATAACTGAGGCCTAATTAAAGAATCCATTAACACAATGTTCAAGGATATTGACCAAAACAGAGCTATAGAGACGTAGAGTGCATCTTTTTTTTTTTTTTTTTATCATTTTCTTAAAATTCTCTGGTGCACTTCCTTTGTTTTGTTTTTGTCCAAGTCTGTGTGCTATAGTATAAGTTGCATCATGCATGCAGCTCAAAAGAAAAGCTTCTGAGGTTTTTTTTCTAAAAAATGCTTCTGTGTATTTTGTTGCGTTAGTCTATGTTGTACCAAACCTTTAGGTGTTGTTTGAGTTACTCCAGAGCATTTTAGGTGTTGTTTCAGTAGAATGTTCCAAAAATATTTTCTTCTTATTCCTTTGTACATAGAATTCTTTTATATAAATAAATTGAACATCTGATTATGAACAAGGAAATAACACGTTTAAATGGCATGGTAAAGATCAAATGAAGAAATGGTTTTCTTTTTTCAATGATAAAATAGAAGGTATTCTTGATAAACAAAAAGCAAACTCGGGAATAGTGGAACTAGAAAAATAGTACTAACGGTAGTATTTAGAATTGAGAAAACTGTTCATTTAAATCATTAGTTGTCCATTTCGTTGATTTAAAAGATGAACTCTGTACCTGGTGATTAAAATGCTTAACTTTATGTAATACGCCGATTTCAGGAATAAGGTGGTGCATGCGGAGAGGTTTAAAAGAATTGAATTTGGCCACATATGTCACCAAAATGCACTTATCTTTTGGTCAAACTGTCCTGAGAGAACTCCACAAATAAGCGTGCTTGAGCTGGAGCAATTTCAGGATGGGTGACCTTCCGGGAAGTGATTGTCGGAACTGTGTGAGTGAGGACAAAACACAGGAAAGATTATGTGGTGATTTGTAGGGTTGGTAAACAGTCTTTAAAGCCTTCCGGACGTAGCGAACCAGCGCAGTGGAAGATGGTAGGCCACGGGCCGAGAAAGGACGTAGAGCCCATTATGAAGATGGTGGTCGGGGCGTTACAAGTGGTATCAGAGTCGAACCCAGACGAGTGTGGAGTCAAGAAGGCTCACACTGTCGGTGGTTACGGTCTTGGTACGCAACGAGGACGTTGCGATTAGTTAGTGGGGTGAATTGTAACACGCCGATTTCAGGAATATGGTGGTGCATGCATGCAGAGAGGTTTAAAAGAATTGATTTGGCCACCGATGTCACCAATATGCACTTATCTTTCGGTCAACTGTCCTGAGAGAACTCCCAAGTTAAGCGTGCTTGAGCTGGAGCAATTTAAGGATGGGTGACCACTCGGGAAGTGATTGTCGGAACTGTGTGAGTGAGACAAGCAATAAGAAAAGATCATATGGTGATTTATAGCGTTGGTAAACAAGTTTTTAAAGCCTCCGGACGTAGCGAACCGGCGCAGCGGAAGATGGTGGGCCCACGGACCGAGATAGGACGTGGAGTCCATTAAGAGAGATGGCGGTCGGGGCGTTCTACTTTAGGTTGACTTTCGGTTAAAATAACTATTTTCGTTGACAAAGCCAATTGAGGCACAACGTTAATTGGCTAAACAGAGCATGAGACGTTGTTTATGTGTCCATTAAACAAGTCAGTTATTTAGCTAAACGGCGTCGTTTTCATCTAAAGAAAACCCACAAAACGATTAAAAACATTAGAAATCGAGAAATCTAATTAACGATTTGGGAGTTTTATATATTGAAAACGACGTCGTTTAGCTAATTAATGGATTGACTAACAGACACATAACATCGTCTGATTGCTCCGTTTAGCCAGATAACGATGTGCTTCGATTGGCTTTGTCAACGAAATTAGTGATTTATTATAAATCAACCTAAAATTAAGCAGTTTAACCACCAGATCAAAAGGTCATGCTTTAAATCAACGAAAATGGACAACTAATGATTTGAATGATATTTTTCCTATTTAGAATTCAAAGTAAAAGATAGGTTCGCCATAATCCATGCCTTCTCAACCGGTAGATTACATATTTTCTTTTGTAGATTCATAAATCCTAAAGGAACTCATACATCTTGTGAGACGAACCATACAAATACCATAAACATAAATCATAAGATGCTTTTACTAAATTATAACAGATGTTTATAAGATAGACATCTCACTTACATATACATACGGTTCCAAGATAGTATAATATATATATATATATATTATCCTTCTCAGCTCTTG